TTATCATATCCAATTTTATCGGATTTAGGCGCGTATCCACGCATATGATTTTTTTAATCCCTAAACATACCTTTATCAATGTCTATATAAAATTTATTGAAAACAATTATATGTTTGCTCCATAACTAGCAACAAATCATGAAAGAAAAACAAAAAAACCACAACATTACACAAAAATGAAAGGAACAACAATGAGATTTTTAATTAGAACTTAGCAAGATCAGCCGATTCTCACCCAAAAAAAAAAAAATCAGTCGACAAAGCCATAATGATTTTTGTTACTTCCTCGGTTGTCATTTTTAGCATTATAAATTGTTTAGTAAAAAACTGAAAAGGTTTACAGGAAATTAGTGGACAACCTAGATACAATCTGGGCTCCCACTCCCTTATCACCCATTCTTTATTTACATCTCTGCCTTCTTTGTCTACCCTAATAAGTAAATTATATTTATATGTCTTCTCATTTACAGTTATAAATAGTTATGAAAATAATAATTCAGCATTGGGTTTATAACGAATAACAATTGAACCATAATTACTCACTTTTTAGTTAATTGTCCAATCCAATTTGAAAAACAAACTTTTTTACTTAATAGTACGTGTTTTAAGATAAGTTTTACTTTTTATTTCCTATAATCACAATAACGCAAGTTGACCAGTCCGCCACGAAGTGCGGTCCTACTCTTTTTTTGGGTCGGAAAACGGAGCGCTTAAAGGGCGCCCCAACCTTTATTCATTAACAAGACGAGGAGTTTCCACCCCAATAATGTCGAAATACAACCAGTAGGCAAGAGTACTCGAAGGGGAATCAAAAATATGGACCCCTACAGGATAGGAATGGCCGATAGAAGCTAAGTAATCCGCAACACAATTTCCCTCTCTATACACGTGCTCAACCCGAACCTGCCAAGGCTTCAACAGCCAACGACGGATCTCCGCAATGGCCACGAAATGAGGGTGAAGCTCGGAAGCGTTATCTATGAGTGTCTTTGCTATAAGTGAGTCGGTCTGAAGAATCACCTTCCTAGCCCCGAGTTCCCAAGCAAGTTTCAGTCCCTGCCCAATACCAGCCAGCTCTGCACGGGTGATCGAACCTCCTCTCAAGTTCGCAGTAAAAGCTCTGATGAAACGGCCATCGCCCCCCCTAACGATGCCGCCAGCTGCCGTGCTAATCGGAGAGTGAATGACCGAACCGTCAGTATTGATGCATATCCAGTCTGATGGCGGTGGTTGCCAGCGTATCAGTCGGCTGGTTGGAGGCCCCCCTCCTCCAAATATCTCGTTCTCCTTCTCGAGTGCAGTCAGAATCTGCTGCTTGAGCTGCTTTGTGATCAACTGGATTTGAGCAGGGGACTGTAACTCGCCTTGGAACACGTGGTTATTCCGGTTCTTCCACAGAAGCCAACAAGTGCAAGCAAACAGGGTGCTATCCACGGTGGTGCTTTTCCCTGCAAGATAGTGAAGCAGCCGTTTTCTTAGAGGTTGGCCAAAAAAGAGTTCGTCGGGTTCCATGTCAAGAAGATCCGCCCAGGTAGCTCTAGCCATTGGGCACTCCCTCAAGATGTGTAATGTGGTCTCCGGCCCGCCATCGCAAAGTTTGCACGAGCTGTCTTCAGTAAGGTGTCGCCGTCTTCTCTCCGAGTTCGTAAGTAGCCGATCATGCGAAGCCAGCCAAAGAAAAGTTCTCGTGCGCTGCAAGGCTGGTGCACGCCAGATGGTACGCCAAATCGGGTGTGTCTCGGTCACGTCTTGGCTCCGGGCAAGCAGCTGGTACGCGGAGCTAATGGTAAACTTCTCGTCGGCGGTGAAGCGCCATATCCTCACGTCGGCTTCTTGCTCCTCAGGGATGGGGTGTAGTAAAACCTGCGCCACAACAGAATGGGGTAAGAAAGCACGAATATAATCAACATTCCACTCACCATTGAGTACGAACTCCGCCACGGGGAGATGCAAGGCTTCCTGGGGTATTCCTGCAGCATATGACAGTAAGGAATCTCCATCATTGAGCCACCGGTCGCTCCAAAACCTCGCTGTGCGGCCATTTCTCACATTCCACGCCGACCCTACTTCGATCAGGTTCCACACCCGCAGCACACCTCGCCAAAGGTTGGAGACTCGTCCCTGGGAGCGGAGCACGTACTCTCCCCCTCGTAGCCTGAAGTATTTAGCTTTGATGATACGGACCCAAAGCTCTTCGGGGTTAGTTAGCATCCTCCAGGCTATTTTCAGCATGTAAGCATCATTGGTACGTCTCGAATCACGGAGTCCGAGCCCTCCTTCCTCCTTGGGAGCGCAGATAGTGGCCCAATCCACTAGATGAATTTTCCTGGTGCCCTCCGTACTCCCCCAAACAAATCCCCGGATTTTTTTGTCAATATAATCATGAACACAGGCCGGGAGGAGGGCCGTTTGCATGGTATAGGTCGGGAGGGACGATAGCACCGACTGCGCCAGCGTAATGCGAGCTGCAAGTGACATCGTGGCTGCCTTCCATCCTGCAAGACGAGAATCTATGCGGTTAATCAAGTCAATGTAAGTCGACTTAGAAACTCTGTCGTGAATGACCGGGACCCCTAGATACCGTCCCAGGTTAGCCGTTTCTTGAATTTCCAACAAAGTAGAGATCTGGGTCCTCAGTTGAGAGGACACATTCTTTGAGTAGAAGATTCTCGATTTAGGCTTGCTCACTTGTTGACCCGAAGAGGCGCTGAAAGTATCGAAGCAATGATTGATTGCCTCCGCCTGATGTAAAGACGCTTCTCCGAATAGGATTAGGTCGTCGGCGAAGAAGATATGAGACAGCGCTGGTGCATTGCTCGCGATCCTGACTGGTTTCCATTGTCCTTGACGCACTGCATCCGTGATAATGTGTCCCAATCTTTCCATGCACAGGGTAAATATATAGGGCGATAACGGGCAGCCCTGACGAAGACCACGAGAGGGTCTAAATGAATCAGACAATCCCCCGTTCCACTGTACCTGCATCGAAGCCGAGGTGATACAGGCCATGACTAAATCCACAAACTCCGAGGGAGCTCCAATGGCATGGAGGGTATCCTTCACAAAACTCCACCGTATTCGATCATAAGCCTTTGCCAAATCCACTTTAACTACCATCCAGCCAGACCGACCCTTCTTAGCTCTCATCGAGTGAACCACCTCCTGAAGAATGCAAATATTATCCGTGATGTGCCTTCCAGGAACAAAACTCGTCTGAGTCTCATGAACAAGGGATGGCATCAAGGGCTTGAGACGCTCAGCTAAGCACTTCGTCAGGGTCTTATAAGCCACATTACAAAGACTGATGGGACGAAACTGCTCAATATAAACCGGGTGCTGAACTTTAGGGATTAAGACCAGGATGGTAGAGTTGATACCCTCGACTTGCCCCTTGTCAGCCCAGCTTGTCTGAACCAGACTAGATAAAGACTCCCCAGCGATATCCCAGCACTTCTGGAAGAAGATAGGGCTCAGTCCGTCCGTGCCCGGGGCCTTGAGAGGCCCCATGCTTCTGATGACGTCGCGGACTTCTTCCTGAGATGGAGGGACGATAACACCTAGCCACGTAGCTTCGTCAAACTGGTGAAAGGCGTGGCCAAGGTCAAGAAAAACACCTCCCTCATCAGTATAGAGGGTTTTGAAGTGACTACATGCTAGCTCCTGTAGCTCTTCAGGAACATCGATCCAATTCCCATCCAGACCCTTCAAAGCAGTAATACGATTCCTTTTCCTCCGCATGATAGTGTAGGTGTGAAAATACTTTGTATTTTGGTCCCCCCATTTAATCCAATCCTGTCGAGATTTTTGACACCACAAGACTTCCTCTTGAAAGAGAACCGATTCCAACTCTTCCCGGGCAGCTACTAGGCTCGGCATCGAGTTCAGACCCCCATCTTGCAATTCCAAGTCCTCAATTTTCCTTAGGAGCGCGTCTTTGTGCCTTTGAATATGTCCAAAGATGAACCTGTTCCATTGTTGGGCGTCCTGGGCAAAAGCATCGGCTGATTCCTTGAAGTCCCCCCCCCCCCCCCCCCCGCGCCCAAGCTGAACTAGCCATTCTCTTGAAGTCCTCATGGGTGAGGCAAGCAGCCTGGAACCGAAACGGTTTAGGCCCTCCCAGAGCGGTATGGTTCGTCAATGAAGCAAGCAGAGGCCTGTGGTCCGATCTCAGCCTGGCCAGGTGTTTGACATTCGACTCCGGGAACAAGGTTAACCAGTGGTTGTTTGCCAGTGCACGATCCAGGCGTTCCCGGACCCCTGACCGAAACCAAGTGAAATCCGGCCCCGAGAAACCAAGGTCCGCTAGACCGGCATCGTTAACACAGTCTTGGAAGTCTCTGACTCGGGTCGCGTCAAAGGGAGCTCCCCCAAGTTTTTCATTCGGCCAAAGAATGGAGTTAAAGTCTCCAATAAGAATCCAAGGATCCTCAGTTTCCTCAGCAAGCCTTCGGATCGCAGACCACAGCTCACGTCTTTGCATGGGCGCAGGGTTACCATAAACTGCTGTGAGCATCCAAGCATTATTTGCTGAGTTTGCGTACTGTACCTGCACATGGAGAAATTGCGGGTGAGAATCTATCCTTGTAACAGTGAGCTCCGAAGAGTTCCAAAGAATCCAGATCCCCCCCCCCCCCCGAGAAACCCACAGCATCAACTATAAGTTTGCTATCATAACCCATGTCTCGGACCACCTCCTCAGCGGTATTCCCACTGATACGAGGCTCAACAATCATCACAATGTTAGGACGAGTTCTACGTTTATACTCAAGGAAAGTACGAAGGAAGCTCCGGCTACCGGCGCCTCTACAGTTCCAACAGAAAATTTTACAATCCATAAAAAGAAAAAGGAAGAGGAAACTCCCTGGCACATCACTGACGGGTGGCTCCATCGCCATTCCCTGCAGGCAATAATCTCTAGTTTAGACCTTAAATTTATGGAGTTTGACATGATGATAGAATCTTAAAACTAGTTTGACCTCTTCATTTTTACTTGTCGAGAGTTTTTGCCCGGTATCCAAGTTGACCCAGCTAGACTATCTTATCCGTTTTCAACTTCTAGCTGGGTCCTTGGCACAGCCTCCTTTCTAGTTTCTACTAAGCTGAAGCTTAAACCCTGGAAGAACCTCCCCAAAATCCCTAAACATTGCCGATGGGAATTTCGGAGCTTGCCCATTAGAGTAGCGCGCCATCTATCCAAGAAACCTGCTTTAGCTGCAACAATGGTTTCTCTACCAACAACCTGGCTTTACCAAGGTCCACTCCCCATTCTCTGATTCACCTCCTCTCCTTCCAAAGTTCCAATTCCATCCCTAGTTTCTTACTCCGCCGCGGTGCTTAACTGGTTTTCCATTTCTCGTGTTTCTAGATCGAGGATTGAGGATTACAATCTCACCACACCGCGTCAGGAAACCAGGTTTGCCTTCGCTATTCCCGTCCGGCGTTTGTGCGATTCGGTCTCGAAAGCAGCCTCGTTTACTTCATCGGATAAGGTGCGAGAACGAGGACGAAGATGAAGGGATTGAACATGTATACGTCGAGCGTCCTCCGTACCATAGCTATTTCGACTCCACGTCCGGCCAACTCGAGCCGGCCTCCGGTGCCCGTGCCAGCATCCCGGGAGAAGATTGTTGGCCCGAAGGCACTTCGGATAGGGTTAGGGCTGCCAGGGCTCCGGCGCCGGCGGGGGCGATATCGGCTGGGTCTTCCTCTAACGGTCAAAATCCTGGAAGTAGGAGGAGGAAGCACAGAGCATCGGCCACGGGTCCTCGATCTTCAGATGCAATCATCGAAGTGAAAGATTTGGGAAATGTTGCTGCAGAAGAAACCATTGTTGAGGAGGAGACGGCGGAGGAGCCCAGAGATGAATCTTCTGAGTATGTGATTTATCAGATGGAACCGGAGGTGGAGGAAGAAACGGGGTTTGCATTGGACAAGAAATTGGGAAGGCCCCATCCGTTTATTGACCCCAAGGTGAAGAAGCCGATAGAGGGGACCCTTCCTGAGGAAGAACTATGGTGGAACTGGAAGAAGCCAGAGGAGGAACAATGGTCAAGGTGGCAAAGGAGGAAACCCGATGTTGAAACGGTCAGTAAGTCTGATGAGGAAAGGAAAATTCACTTTACTTACTGATCATGAGCCATATCTCTGCTGAAAGAAACTGTATTTGTCTATGTTGTAAGGTATTCCTCAAAGCAATGGCTGAAAATGGGGAAGTTAAACTCTACGGCGAGACTCCCTCGTTGACCGAGACTGCTCTCTACCGTGCCAGGAAGCATCTTTATAAGGAGGAAAGGTAACAGCAACCGGGGATCTTCTATCTCAAGTTCTATTTTTGACTCGATGGCTTAAAGTTAGCCATAGCTGTTAACATGGCATGGTGTTCTTTCTTTGGTAGATGTACTTCCTCATGAATATGATTCACTATCTAACATCAGTGAAGCAGAATATGATTCACTATCTAACATCAGTATTGCTTCAGCCCTTGTGGGTGTCTTTCACCTGATAAATATGATTCACTATCTAGAATCTATCTCTGATTGTAGTTTGTCTCCAATGAATGGGTAGGCTTCGACTTGAGCAGGAAAAACTGGAAAGAATAGGCCCGATGGCATACTATTCAGAATGGGTGAAAGCATGGCAGAGAGACACTTCACGCGAAGCTGTAGAGAAGCATTTTCAGGAGACTGGCCAAGATGAAACCATGCAACTAATGGAAATGTTCAGCTATCAAACTGATAGAGAATATCGTATAATGATGGGTACTGATATTCGCATCAAGAGGGATCCTTTAGCAATGCGGCTCAAAGAAGATCAAATAAAGCAAAGTAATTGATTCTATTCGGATTTGTCTTATGTGGATCCCCCATCCTGTTGATTAGAAAGTGATACTGTGTGTTTAGAACTGCTCAGTTCCATATGGTTGAAATGAACCAAACTGGTGTTATCTGTTTGATGCATCAGAGGAGAAACAAAGATGAGAAAGTGTTTGCTTTCATGTTTCTCGCTTTTGTCTCCTCTTGTAACTGACATTTTTATTGGTTGTGCAGTTTGGGGTGGAGATCCAGTTTACCCAACAATCAACTACAAGCAGGATCCAAATGAAATCATTGATTACAGGGGTCCAGATTTTCACGAACCAACACCCAATATGGTGGCATACCTAAAAGAGGTTCACAATCTTGTCTCGATATAGTGATGAAGTTACCTTTTATTATATATCTTCGATTAGTTTCTCTTTGCTGTATTGTGCGATCAGCTGTTAGAAAGTTGAAGCTTGACCTCTTAAGCTTACGTGCTTTATGACGGATTGCTTATGTGCATGATTTTCGAAACCTGATACGAGTAATTATCAGTGCTTGCTAACATCTGAATGGTTGCCAGTCTGCTGAAGTCTTCGTTTCAGGGCTAGATTTTTAAGTGGGGAACACTTGTAGTCTGATGAAAAATATGTACACACATCCATGAAGCATATGATTTAATAAATGATACGACTTCTTTGAGGCTAATAATGTATATTCAACAATTGAATCCTGTTAGATTAAGTGGTCTGACTAGTATATATGAGTTTGTCGGATGCAGAAATATTAGAAAAGGCAACATTTTTAAAGATAAACCACTTCATAACCCTTGCTTCAACTTTCTACGTACTAACCTGCTTGGACCTTCTTTGTTATTTTATCGATTGATTGATTGTGACGATTGCAAAGTGCTAACCCTCTGTTTTGATCAGCATGGCAAGCTCATATCCAGACACGAACTTGAACAAACTTTAGCAAAAGAGAAGACGGAACAAGTTGAAGTAAGTCATTCTGACCCTCCTCTTTCCCACATGACTTGTTTGCAAGAAAACTCAACTCTCATGCAAACCATCTATCGTGCTGTCATTTATTGCACCTTCCATGTGCTATAATTTCGTCCCGGAACTTAACATCTAATGCATGTTGTTTCCTCTTAATGTTGAATTAGCAGTTGACGGACATGGATGACGCCATGGCACGAGCGGTAGACATTGGTGAAAATGATGTGAGTTTCAACTTTTCTCTTCATTCCTACGAACAGCATTATGCATTGCGCAACGTGGAAACTATCAGCCTCATTTTATTACTAACACTAGAAAGCCGGTCACATTTGTGAAGGAGGAGGAAGAGACCAGTGATGTTGAAGAGGAAGACGAAGACAGCAAACTTCCCCGCAATTGGAGCGTTCTGAAAACCGCTCCTGAACTTCGCAAATCAAAGGTAGGTTGTCGAGCGAATCTTTTCTCCCGAACTACCTACTGAAGTAGGAGGAGAACTCAAGCCAATCATTCATTGTTGACTGGAAGAAGAACCCAAAGAACCCATTTTTCTTATGCTTTCCTTTTCACTAAAACATGCTGCTGGTTTTCCTTGCCTTTGCGGGGTTTTCTCATTCCTGCTCTCTTTTTGGTGGGACTTGCAGCCCAAGGCCAAGAAGGAGGGTGCCATGAATCTGGATGAAGCCATAGATGATTCTGAGAACTTGACCGACTTTCTAATGGACTTCGAAGAAGAGTGACTGTGTGTGTGTGTAAATTGATTCAGCAGTTTGTAGGCAGAGAGCAGCTTTGGTTTTGTAGTGATGATTATGAAGAAGTAGAGAGACCAGTCCAGGCGCTGTGAGGACTCAAGTTTGCTGGGCCACCATGGAAGCTTGCATAGGTCCAGTAGCAGAAGAAAGCCCTGGTCTTGAATAGGGCCCAAATTATAGAAGATTCTTAAGCTACTCTAGTAGGCTACGGGAAAAAGGGAATCCAACAGGGAAAAGTGTTTTTCCGGATTTTGGTAATCAGACTCCATAATATGGTGCAAGGGTTGAGGGATTGGTGGTGTTTGAATTAATCAGTAATTCCAAGGAACCTACCCCAAAGTCCAATCTACTCTTCTCAAAGAAAAGCCATCCAAATTATTCAGTCGTTTTTTTTTTTTTGGGGTCGATGTATTTGTAAATTGATATTATTTGCTATAACGTAAGATGTATTTGCAAATACATAATTTGGTTTCGTGCAGTTATGGTATTAGAGACGACACGGAGTAATTATTAGAACACTTGAATTTATCAAAAGGGTCAACAAAATTTGTATGCAATTATGAATTTTCACTCGTGTTAATGATGTCCAACCAATAGACTGCAACATACATCCAACCAATGTTTTGCTAGCAGAACTAATAATCGTTTACTGAAAAATTCCATCTTGATTAATGATATAAGATCATATTGTAGATTGCGGTAACTTCATAAGCCTATGAAGTAAGCTAGAACCAAATTGGAAAACTTCAACCAAGCTGGTCGCTGTGCTTCTGGGTTTGCTCCCATAAGCCAACTACCTTGTTGACACAGGAGAAGGCGTGAATTCTGGAGGGGATATTAGTTTTCTATACAGCAGCACCGCCTTTCCTCGTCTCTGTGCTTAAAAATTAAAAGGAGCCCCTCAACTTGGTCCTTTTTAAATATCTGTTTTTATGCAAACCAAAGTTCATCACAGTGAAATGAACCCACTCACTCACTGCTCACTTATATTTAATCATTATGGATATAAACAAAAAAATCATTATTCCCAGACCTCTCTTGATAAATACAGTTTGAACCCAAGAAATCACACAAAAAAAGAAAAAGAGTATAGTAATGAAAATGATGGGACCAAATAGAAAAAGGGAAACAATTAAAAGGAGGGCTGGGGGAAGAGGAATTTAGGGGGAAGGAGTGTGGGGTTTGGTTTGATTTTGATTTTGATACCTTTGAAAAAATGAAAAAAACTGGGCACCTACCATCTCAGCCAGCCAGCAGCCAGTGCAGCACTTATTATTAATAGCAGCAACTAGCAAGTTGCTGGGGAAAACAAAACTAAACAAAAGGTACATATCATTTCTGAGTTCTAAATCTGCAGAATGAAATGAATTTATTCTGGATGTTATTTATTTTCCACGTTATTATACACTTAGAGAAAAATGTTTTACCGTGCCACTTCATGATGCATCTCAATTGACAGTTCTTGCGATCGTTCTAAATCCTAACCGAGCTGACATCATCTGAAGATAATCTCAAAAAAATAGAATTGTCCACCACACTGGAAGCCATACCACGAGTGAGCTCAGGGGTGGGCAACGGGACGGGACGGGATACCCGTCCCATTTGAAACGGGTACCCAGTCCCATTTGGAGACCAAAGTCCTTCCCATATCCCAAACTCATATGGGAAACGGGTACCCATAACCCGTACGGGACGGATAACGGGTACCCATACTACCCATAAATACCCAAAGTTTAAACCACTAAAATTTTAACAAAAGTTTAAACTTAACTTGCACTTGCTTAACAATCACAAGACACAAAATCCATCCCAATCACAAATACTTGGTTTGCAAATTACACATTTAGTTATGAAGACCCCTGCCAACCTCACGAAGCACCAATTAAACCCAAAGGTCACTCCCGTAATCGCGAAAATGATGAGCGAATTTGCCGGGCCGAAGTGAACAGTTGTTGCTCTTGAGTTTCTTGATCGTTGTCCTTGTTCATATCATACCTTGAGCTTCGGTGTTGAACCCATTAGATCTGTGTTTTTGGGAAGTTTGAACTGAAGCAACTGTACATGGAAACATCTCCCGTGCCTTGGAGTTGTCACTCTGACCCCTTACAGAGAAGGAACAATTCGACCGAATCGTCTATAGGTTCTGCTTGCAGCTCTTAGAACTATGGTTGTTGCTCGTTTCGATTCACTCACTTCTGATTAGCTCCATTGATCGCTCTCGCGGTGCTCCTAGCTGGCTGATGCTGGTCTGCTATTGAATGGAGGCGGCGCAGCAGAGTGAATGAAGGAAGCCGCGGCGGTGAATGAAGGAGGAAGTCGAGCTAGGTCTCTCGCTTTGAAGACGCTGACTCGCTGAGTCTCACTGAAAGTGAAAGGGTAAGGGCCCGAAATGGAATTGAAAGGGTAAGGGCCGAAATGGCCAATGGGTTCTGAATTAGTGAATTGGGCTAGGCTGAAATGAATTTCTGCCTTTGTATTGAATGGGTATAACGGGTACCCATATTACCCAAACGGGTATTTGCGAGCAACCCGCGGGTACCCATATTAGGAATGTACAATCCCAAGTCCCATCCGTTTATAATATTACGGGTAATATGGGTACCCGTAACCCTTAAAAAACGGGACGGGTACGGGTATACCCAAATACCCGTTTCCCATTGCCCACCCCTAAGTGAGCTAATGAACCACCAATTTTGAGTCTCCCACAAGAATTATACCCTGCGAATAAAGGCCGGACATTAAGCGTATGATCACTAGGCTGGAACCAACTTCTAATGATATACTCCGTTGAATGTAGGATATCTTATTTCTTATGACAAAGACAAGTGTACGTGTGTGAAACACATTATTTGCAGTTTTTGGTTATTTCGTATTATTGTCGGTTTTTTATTATTGGGGGATTATTTGGGGTATTCGGGAAATAAACAGGGGGTCGATTGTTATGTTTTATTAGTTGGGTAGGAGATAGAAATTATGCGGATTATATAATCTGTACTAGTGGTATTATTTTCATTAAGCAATTACAGAACAAAAACCTAAAACCTAATCCATCTCTCTCTATCTCTCCCCTGCGTCTTTCCCCTCTCACTCTCCTCTCCCAAAAGCTGCGGCAGTAGCAAGCTTCTTCCCTCTCCCTTTGTTCTAAAATTGCCAATCCCAAATCCCTATCTAGGTCAATTCCCAGTTGATCTAGCTAATTTTCCCCAATCCCGATCACGTTAGAAACCTTGTTTCTAACATATGGTATCAGAGCCTGGCTCGAGAGTGAGTTCTTTTGGGCTCTTGAACCAGGAAAGGCAACGATGGTCTCGACAAAGTCAATGAAGGCGGCAGAGAAGGTGGCTCAGGCAGCTGAGAAAAGCACCGAGGCGGTCGACGTAGGGCTCAACAGGGTGGTGGAGGACGAAACTAAGCTGGAGGCGGTGAAGGTGGTGGTGCACGAGCACTCTGATGCGCTGGCTCGGTTCGAAGAAGGCCTGGCGAGAGTGCAGGCCGGCGCGAAGGCAGATGCTGATGATCTTCGTCAGAGGCCTGAGGACCTGATGCGAGCGGTTGCCTCGCTGCAGGCGAAGGGGAACAGAGCAGGGGGAACGCCGAACCCGGCCGAGATGGCGGTCGACCGGGGGGCGCACCTGGCGCGGCGGGCAGAGGAGCCACCACCGCGGGAACGTTCCCGAGCGGGGTCGAGGCGGCGGTCGGCGGGACAACCGCGGCAAAGGCGACGTCGGCGTAGGCTGGCGCGGCGATTGCGGTGGCCGGGGCGGGGCGCTCGCGGCGGCGGCGCAGGCAGACGCAGCGTCCGCCATGGCCGAGGGAGGTAGGGCGGCGGACACAAAGCTGCCCCGAGCTGATCGTGCGGCGGCGGCGGGGCGTGGGCGGGGTCGTGGGTCGCGACTGTTGCCGACCTCGTCGGCCCAAGAAATCGCGGTCATGAAGGGCAAGGCGAAGATGCCCGGGTACGACGATGTGGGCCCCCAGCTGAATTTCGGGCCGCACGAGTCCATGGGCCAAGGCAGGGAACCCAATGGGCTGGGGTGGCTGAGCCTGGACGAGGAAGAGGAGCTGGGCCCGGATCAGAGGGCCTGGAATTGGACCGAGCCCGGAAGAGGGCCGATGGGAAGGGGCGCGGGCAGGGGGTCGGATCGACCGCCCGGGTGTGGGCAGGGCCGAACCAGGCCGGGTCGACCAGAGTGGGTTGGACCGGGTGGGGTCGAACCGGGTCGAAACAGCGGGTTGAACTGGTCGGACCAGCTCCTGGGCAGATCAGGCGAACGGGAGTCGGGCATCAGAAGAGATCTCGGCAGAGGTTCGGTACCCTCCTACCCGCCAGTTCATGGTCCCCGTTCACCGGCAGAGCAATGGGATGCTAGTCAGGCGCGGAAGGCTGGTCTGGACGAGTATGCGGAGTACCCGTTCGAGGAGGAAGAGGAGTGGGGCCGAAGCAGAGGGCCGCCAGGACCGCGGGGCTATCATGACCGAGTTCCGGGGTACGACAAGTATGACAGCTATCCTCGCGGCTTTGATGGCGATCTGGTGTTTAGGGTCAAACCCCCTACCATTGAGTTCCCAAAATTCAATGGTTAGAAGGATGCAGGTCTGCGGTTGTATGCATCTGACAGGTGGTTCAAGAATCATCACACCAAGGAAGAATGGAAGACGCATCTAGCGTCCTTCTACTTTGAGGGAGACGCGTTACAGTGGCGGGAGTGGCTGGAGCGATCATGCGCAGCTGCGCAGACCTTGATCACCTAGCCCTTGTTCAAGGAAGAGCTGCGATATCAGTTTGGCAAATCAGAAGGGTGGGCGCCGGAGCAACTGCTAAGCTGCGCCAGACTGGGACAATAGTGAAGTACAAGGCGGACTTTTTCAAGCTGGGCAATCAATGCAAGGGAGTGTCGGAGGAGACCTTGGTTGGGTTGTGCATGGCTGGCCTAAAGCCAGAGATAGCCGCAGCGGTTAAGGTTTTCGAGCCCGACTCGCTGCGATCTGCCTTTCGTCTTGCATGTTATAAGGAGGAGGAGCTGGCAAGCTGGAGGAGCACGATTGGGCGGTTCCCAAAGGCAAGCGGGAGTGGAGGAGGCGGCGTTGGATCAGGCGGAGGAGGGGCGAGTGCGCCCACTGACACCGGGCTGTCGCCAGCTGGCACAGTCATCTCGAGTCGGCAAGCACCTAGGCCGCCCCCAAAAGGGTTCGTGAGGCTCTCCCCACAGGAGATCGAGCAGAAGAGGAGGGATGGCAAGTGTTTCAACTGCGACGAGAGGTTCACCGTGGGACACAAGTGCTCCAAGCCCGAATTGATGATGCTGGTGGGACGTTGGAAAGATGAAGCAGAGGAGGAAGCAGCCGAAGAAGGGCCGCCAGAGTTGGAGTAGGACCCACAACCTTGAGGACAAGGTTGTTTCCGAAGAAAGCGGGGATGTGGGAAACACATTATTTGCAGTTTTTGGTTATTTCGTATTATTGTCGGTTTTTGATTATTGGGGGATTATTTGGGGTATTCGGGAAATAAATAGGGTGTCGATTGTTATGTTTTATTAGTTGGGTAGGAGATAGAGATTATGCGGATTATATAATCTGT